AAAAAAAAAAAAAAAAAAAATATATATATATATATATATATATATATATATATATATATATATATATATATATGTAAAAAAGATCTGTCAGAGAGAAAGGAAATTCATGGCACTGGTGCTCTTAGCATCAGTGTCTGTGGGCATGGCTTAACCCTGCTGTAAGCAAACAGGTGACCTGAGATACTTAGAGACCCTGGTCTGGTTGTTCTCTGTCTCCTTTATGTCTTGGCTGTATACATGAAGTTGACGAACAACAAAAACATTTTCAGAAAAATCATCAATGACTGTAATGTCACTTACACCCAGCCCTGCAGTAAACCAAACTTTCTCCCCATCTCTTGACCTAAAGGAAACAAGCTAACAAGGAGAGATAAAAAGTAAGGCGTAGGCTTCGGTAGGGTTCAGCATACCTTAAGGACATATTTGACTCCCTCATAAATAAGTTCAACATCTACTGTATTCAGAAGTGTATGAGCAGGAAGGACTTGACCCCTGAAAGAACAATAATGTTAGAGACAATGACTTCTAGAAAGTTCTAAAAGTTTATAAGGGAATCTCAAAACATTTATAGCATTTCCTGAAATAGCAAGACTGGAAACAATCTATAGGACCATCAGTAAAGGACGGATACATAAATTATGACAAAGTCATAAAATGGAGTATTATGCAGCCATTAAAAAAGAAAGATGAAGCCTTTTATGTACTAATATGAAATACTCTCTAAAATACACTGTTAAATGAAAAACAGCAAGTAAAATTGTGTAGAACAGTTCCTGAGTATGCTACCTTTTGTGTTTTAAAAAAAATAGGCAGTGGGAAGAGACAACTATTGCATGTATATGTATATAAATGTACAATATGTCTGGAAGGTTACAGAAGAAACTGGTAACATAGGGTGATGACGGGGAAGGAAACTGGGTAGCCAGGGAACAGAGGTAAGAAGGAGACTATTCACTCTTCTTGTGCCTATTGAATTTTGAACTATGTGAATACAAAACCTGTTCTTAAAAATAAATTAAAACGTAAACGAAGAAAAACACCCCAGTGCAACCAACCCTCATTTACTCCTGTCAACTGGGAGTTCATTTGGGGTCTTAAAAAAAATGCAGTAGGGCATGGCTGGGTGGGGAGAAAAGGAAGGGAAGGACACTGCCAAGAAAGGAAACATTATTGAGAGACCTTTGATAATAATAGAGAGAGGACATGATAAAGCAAGCGAGGCAAGTTGTTAATAATTGGTGAATCTGGGTGAAGAATATATAGAAGTTGTATACATTATTCATGCAACTCTTCTATAAGTCTGAAATTATTTCAAAGTGTAAGTTTTAAGAATACATAAAAAATATTAAAAAGGTGGGAGAGTTTGTAAAGGAGATTATGTATGACACATTTGTACACCAGCATTTAACTGGCATAGAAATTGGATGTTGATAAATAGAAATTAGTAAGACTGGACTAGTAAAAAGGTGCCAAAGTATACAGGGAATTGAAAGTCACACTGAGGGCTTTGGATTTCATACAGAGGGGTAATGTGAGCTGCTGAAGGTTTTAGTCCATGAGAGTAAAAAAGTGAAAGATATTTATCGTTAGACTTGAATAACAGTGAAATCTCAGTTCAATTTTTAAAATTTCGTTTCTTTTCTTCCTTTCAGACACCTCAAAAGGGAGCTGATGGAAGTCTAAACATAGAAGGAAATAAAATGCCTGTGATTAAGGTGCTTTACAATGATTAGCCCCTTGGACCATTCCTCCAGGGACTCAGAGGCAGGGCTTAGTCTCCAAAGCCAGTGTTAGAAATTAGTTGAGCCCCATACAGTCTGATCCTCTACTTGGAAGACTCATGAGGTCATCTTGACTATCAGCGTCAATTATTGATTCCTGAAAGGTGTTGCAGATAATATATGAAATACTTAGGGTTCAATGCTAGAGAGAAACACCCGATTTTTATCACTAGGGTTTGGAGAGGTTTGATGCTTGTACTGAACAGAATGTTGACTTCAGCAGGATCCCCGTTTTTAAAAAGCTACCCATTCTAACTGTGGTATAAGCTAAGCTCTAGAACTGGAGGAGAGTCCCAAAATAATCTGTCATAAACTCCTATATCCCTTCTCTCCCCTGCCTCCGTGGTCAGTGAATAACAGATAGCACTCACAAGCGTCCAGAAACAGAGAGAAGAATAAATGGCTCTTTGAACTTTAGTCCTGTACTCAGGACCACTGGTCAGCTTGCCCAGCCCACGAGAAACAAAGCCTACCTTTCTAAGGAGTGAAGGAAGTTAGAGATGCTATTCCGCAGGCTCACATCAGCCACATGGAGAGCCCCACACACAACTCCCAACATGGTGTCAGGCCGCTCTGCCTGAAAGGAAGAAAAAGAGGGTAGATCGAAAGCATGGTCACTTACTTGGCACCATGGTCTCTCAATGGAAATCAGGCTCAAATTTGCTGTGAAGATACAGCTAGCATTAAGAATCTCCATCCTTATGGCCCAAATGATTTTTGAGAGGAAAACACATTTACTTTTAGCATTTGAATAGAGGCCTCATTTGGAGAGAGTTGAAAAACACCTTTCCCTTGACTCTCCCTAAGATTTCCACTGAGCCAATCAAAGAGCAGCTCAAAAACAAGCTTTTGTCAGACATAAACTCAAAAAGGTACAGAGATTAACTACTAATAATCTCAAAGCAAAACCGTGTAGAACCAAAATTGGCCCTTCAGGTAAATTTACATGAATCTAATGATTTTATATAAAATCTTGGGGAATTTAGAATAACCTAGCAATTCAGGAATAAGAGGTAACTCTGTTGATTTACATGAGGCCTCCATCATCAGCATTGGGTCGATAGATGTAAAAATTGGTAACGCTGAGCTAGGTTTCACATCAAATGAGGAAAAAGAAAGGATCTCAATCCCCGTAAGCCTCTCTTCAAATGTACCCCAGGAAGTAATGCCAGAACATATAAAATGACTGTGTGACACAGGTACAAGAACTCCTACAGTGCTAAAATTACACTGACTCCTAGATTTTTTCCAAGTAGATCAAGAACCATTTACATTAGAATCAGATAAATTTTATCTAGTGGCATAGACTGATCACATCATAAGCCTATAAAAACCGTGTCCCAGAAGCTGTTTGTACAAATGGAGAAATACACACCTGTACTTTTTCTGCGATCAGTCTGTCCAGCCAGCCAGTGTCAATTCTATTCAACTGAAAGCTTTCAGTCTCCAATAATTTGATCAGGTATTCAACTGTAGTTCGAAAGTCACCCCGAATAGATAGCTCCTTCAAAGCCACCACCATGTTTCTGGGAGAAGAACAGAAGCAGACCTGTTTCAGCAACAAACGTTTTAGTGTTTTTTAATCATTTTAAAGAATCGGGGGCTGGCCGAGTGGCTCAGTTAGTTAAGAGCTTGCTCAAGAGGGCGAGCTCTGGGCAACAGCGGTTTGAGTCCCGGCCCAAGCTAAGCAGCTGCTGAGCTGCCAACAGGTACCAGGATGGCTCAGCTTAAAAAAAAAAAAGAATCGTTTCAATCCTTTGGATTCTTAGGAGGGCGGGGAGAGAGGCAGTTCAAAGAACAAACGAGGGTGCAAATATAAGTGTGCTCATTCACATGCATTCCAGACAAAATAATTTGTAAGAAGTCAGTAAACTTATGAATTCTGACTGATATTACCATAAGTGCATCAACAAATCACATGCATTTTATTATATGGCATACAGAACAAATTTTGTGCAAACCACCCTCAGCTTTCACTTACTAGGTTTACATCATTCTAAGCATTTATTGATGGCTAACTCGAATTAAAGAATAATTCTCCTCTCCTTAGACCTTATGTATTTTATTAAGGTATGACTTACATATAATAAAATATACTTATTTTAAGTATATTGTTCAATGAATTTTGACACATGCTAAGACCTTAATTTAAAGATTTCCATACAATGAGGCAACTGGCTGGGTGCAGTCAGGTATAAGCCCTGATACATCATCTGAGGTTTTTTAAGTTGCATTTTAGATGTCTGTGGAATGACTTGCTCATTACTTTTACTTCCCAATTAAGTGCAAAATTATTTATCTTAACAGAATTTCAAATACTATGGGGTTTTCCTGTATATTTCTGCCCAGAGTCTATCCTCCACAGAGCAGGTTCTTACTTCAACGAATACTCATTATGCATCTCACAGACTCAAGACACATAGTAGGCGCATAAGGGAGAGAGAATACAGATATAATAATCGCTTTTAAAATACATGGTAGAATATCATAAATGCCAGTAGAGAGAGATAAGCCAAGTGCTGGAGAGGTTCTAAGAAGGGAGAAAATACCCCTCCCTATGATTTCATGAGGAATGTGGAATCTGACATGGAATAAGTACAGCTGGGAATAGGACTGGGACAGGAATATTACTCCAGGTGGTCCAGGCAGTCCTTCAGCCTAGAACAGCCGTTCTCAACCTGTGGGTCGCAACCCCTTTGGGGGTTGAACGACCCTTTCACAGGGGTCGCCGGGTACTCACTCGTATGTGGGCGTATCTGCATGTGGGCCTGGAGATGGATAGAGGAGCCGTGTCTCGGTTCCTAAGACCATCGAAAATATGTGTTTTCCGATGGTCTTAGGCGACCCCTGTGAAAGGTTGAGAACCGCTGGCCTAGAACCTTATTCAGTGTCCCACTTCTGCCCTCCTCTCTATGTCCTCTCTTGGCCTGGCTTACTCCTACATAGTTTTCAGATATCAGTCTAGACGCCACTTTCGTCTGGGAAACCTTCCCTGACCCTCTCTAGGCTGAGTTAGCTGACTCAGCTATATGCTCCTATATCACCTTTATGTAATCCTACTATCATACAGAACAACTTATTACATTGTGTTTAACTGTTTGCCTCTCTTCTTCTGGATTCTAAAGTTCCATGAGGGCAGAGACCCTACCCTCCCTGTTTTGGTCCTCGTTGTATTGCTATAACCAGAAGATTTTCAGCAATTTTATTTTTTTAATGGAGTGAAGGAATAAATGGACAGAGGGAATATCAAGAACAAAGGGAAAGAAGGGAAAAATACGGGTTGTGTTCATGGAACGTTATGGTTGAAGCAGAGAATACGAGGACAGGAACTAGTGGCAAATCCATTCATTTTGCAAACATTTACTGAACATTTAACTATGCTCAGGGGATACGGCAGCAACAAAACAGACATGGTCCTGTTCTCAGGTATTTAGGTTATAATCTATGGGAAATAATTCTGGAAATATAGGTTGGGGCTATCCTAGAGAACAAGAATATTATGACTTATATGAAAAAGTATATAAAGAATAAAAATATGAATATTAAGAATGTTATGAAGGAATAAACCAGCAAGCTTATTTAGAGACCATATTTTTAATATGCTAAAAATTAACCTAGCTAGCTTTACACCTAGTTAGAGAAATGTACAGATCAGGTCAGTAAATAAAAAACGAGGCCTTTGGACGAAGTAATAGGCTGTATACTGCAGAAAATACTCAGTGGTCTGCCTAATCAGGACTGTAAACCCAAATACCAACAGAGGCCACTCTGAGAATGTAAATGAGTGTAAATGAGTCATACTGGATGGAGGCTGTGTGCACTAGACAGTTCATGTTTCCTCTAAAAGAAGCAGCCACACAAAGCTCTAGTTAACTTTTGCCAAGTGGAATATAAAACCAATGTTGTCGTTATCATCCCATTTTTAAAGAAAAGGCAGAAATCCATATATTTATTTTCATCTCCCAATTTTTAAATATTGGCCGTTTTAAAAACATTGACATGCTGTAAGCCAATCAAACACATCTGTGGCTGTGACTGGTTGGAAAGCCACTGACGTGCAAGCTCTAGCATAAACCTTCATGTTGGCAAAGCAGAGTGTGACTGTGAAAGGAAAAAAAAGGGCAACTTTATATACCAGATGGTTTTTCTGGCGGCACTGTTTTAATTTTGAAAAACTCCACTTATAGTTTTGAATAAATAGGAAGAATTATAGAGGACAAAATAGAGAAAAATGGAGACTTACATACTCTAAAAACATTATTAAAAAAACAACATTATTGATAAATACTTATTGGTTACCTGTCTATGTGTACAGTCTAAAGGTCAGGGAATGGTATTAAATGCTTGGTATAAGGATACAGACAATTAAAAAATAGATAGGATGAGTTCAATTTCCGATATTCTAAAATATCTAAACTGTCAAAATTACCTCCTAGACCCCTACTTTTTAGGCAAGCAAAATTGCTATTAAGCTAATATTTAATGTTTATGTTTAATACAATATTAACTAGTAACACATGATATACCAGTTATATTTGGATAAACTGTGTGCATATTTCATAGAACATGAAAGTCTCTTATATAAGCAATGGGGACAGTTCCCTGATGCCCTTTGTATGTAACGAGCAGTTTAATTTTCTTATTTTAAATGACTATAGGACATTTACAGCTATACTTATATTTTAATGATCAATAACATCATTTGTATGATGCCAAACTCTTGGTCAAGAACCTCCCTACCTCTAGTAACAGTACTGTTTTCATGGGAAAATGATATCTTTAAAGCAATCGATTTTGTAAAGTTTATCAAAAATATTTGGAAGCTAAAATACTTGAAAAGGCTCAAACATCAAACAGAAAAACATCTACCAAACACTGCATAATTTAACACAACATGAATCCAAGTACAACTGAAGGCATATCTCTTCAAAAAGTTGCTCATATTAGTATTTTTGTAGCAGATAACTTTATTCTCATTCCCATTTTCACACCCTCACTGAAGATTAGCACAGATTTATTTTTTAATGCAATCAAATGCTATTATACTCACGAAATTGCTTCCTCTCTGTTTTCTCCCCAAGAAAAGCAGTGACCGAACTGAGAATCAGCAAATTCATGAAGTCCCCCTGCAGCAGCAACACTGAAATAACCCCAAACGTTCTTATTGCTGCGGAAATTCAGTTCCTGAACTGTTCCTGAGCTGGGCTTAAAACCCTGTTAGAGAATGAAGAATAGGAGAGACCATGTTATATTTTCAAGGAAGAGGACAATTACATATTTATTGTTTAAGCTTTATGTTAATCATACACAAAAGAAGAAAAGATGCACAAAAATCATAAAGATTTGAGAGCCAATGTCCAGTGCCTCTGAGGACTCTATAGTGACTATAGTAGGATGACATGACCAATGGAGCAGTGCTCACTTCTTTGTCTGCTCTGATGAAACCTCTATAAATTTCCCTCTGCAGAGAGTCCTAAAATAGTTCACAAGTATAGCCCTCAGGTACCATCTCAATATTAATGTCCACAAAAAATGTAAACCTTTTAAGTGATGGGTTACCTCATCTGGATTTTCACTAGTGATCCGAGCAGCAATAACATGGCCCCTTGGGCAAGGAACATGAGCAGAATTTTCAAAATCAATGGGAGCATCGCCCCAGGGGGATACCCCATACATCATACGGATATCCTTGATTCTGTACAGAGGGATCCCCATGGCAATCTGAAAGGTAATAAAACACACATCACTCATTTTTCAGTTACTTTCCTTAAAATGTGGAGGCTAACAGATTGCCTCCAAGATTTTTCATTTTAGTAGCCACCACCTAAAACGTGCTATTTTTATAGTCTATGTTCTACACTCATCAAATAAGTAATTCGAAGTTACTTGAAACAAAATATATCATCCAGGTAAGTTGCTAAATACTTCCCACTCCTAAAAAAGTCCCCAAATTCCTAATGCAATAGACATGAGTTTCCCTCTATTGTCATTTCTCCATCAAGGGATCAGAATGAAAATATTCAAGGGAAGAAGAGTCAGTGTTGGTTGCTATCCAAGAAGTTCAGACAGCTAAAAAGTCCTAATTATGTCATAATCATCTCACAGTTATGCCTACAAACCACTGGAGAAAGAAAATAAATAAGTAAATAAACAAACAAACAAACAAATAAATAAAATGAAATAAATCTTGTGTCCTTAATGGGAACCCAGGCTTCTCAATGTGGGCTAAGAATACATTAGATGCAAACAATATCAAACCTCATCATGAGTTATTACTGCTTCCCGTAACATTTGTTTAAGGGGCTAAATGGAGAAAATAATATTGACAGACAGCACTTTAAACATTATAAAAATAAATGAGTGCTGCCACAGTCTTGCCCGGAAAACCCTCAACCACCACTCTGATGTAGAACTGCTTCAATACAGAACATTAGTAAGAAGGAGTAGAGGACAGTTACAAAGTTGTCAGGTTTTCGATAATTAAAACAACTGAATAAAGCATACTATTTTTAAAGTTTCTTTCTAAAATGTGATAGTTTTTAATCAGCTGCGTCTGGCTGAAAAACAGACTAATATTCCTAGATTTGTACCCCATCAGGGTAATCAACCCACACGTCCCAACCCATCCAGCATGAGAGATGAACATTAGAGGAGACTCAGATAGGAGGTGCTCCTCTCTTCTCAGACACTAGTTAAGCCAGTTTTTCAGGCATCTCTGACATTCTCAGGACAACACTCTAAGCCAAGATCAGGGTGACTCACCTGGAGTTGTGCTGCAGGGAGGTTCACATCAGCCACCATCTCTGTACACGGGTGCTCCACCTGTAGCCGAGGGTTCAGTTCCAGGAAGTAGAAGCTGCCATCCTGGCTGTAGAGATATTCTACAGTTCCCGCACTCACATAGCCAACCATTTTGGCAAGTTTCACCGCACACTCAAAGAAGAAAGATAAGCAAACATAAGTATCTCACCTTGTCCAGCTAGTGGACCACCGCTTATCTGTAGCCTCTCCCTGACTAGTATATCTAGTGTTCCTAAGAGCCACCAAAGGCTTTTAGCCACAGGAGAGTCAATTTCACCCTTTGATTATTACAGAAGTTTCCTGCACAAGGATGACAAACTCAATTCTAAGCTGGAGGAAAACAGTGTTTTTCACTTAGCATCACAGGCAACCTATCAGACATAAGCACATACAGGTAAAAAAAAACACTGGGGCAGATTTTTCAGAGACCTTGTTTCTAGTATTCCTAGCATTCTTCCTAAAACATGGCTATCCAGCTAGAAACTAGATTTTCCAACTTCTTTCACAGCTAGTGACAAAGGTTTGACCAATGCCATGTCAGCATTGGTGAGTGATATACAAAACCCCTGAGTTACATTTTGAAAAGGAAGTGTTTGTCCTCTATTCCTGGCTTTTCCCCTTCCATGGACTGGGACATGGACATGACAGTACAAGCCAGTTTCAGACATGCGGATGAAAACATACCAGGAATGGCAGCACAAAACAGAATGAACCTGAATCCCCAGATGGCCTGATGGAGCAGAACTGTCCCACCAGCCCAGGGGAGCTCACCTCAGAATATGAAGGGAAGGAAAAATAAACTTCTATCTTATCTGGGTTGCATTTTTTTGGACCTCTTTATTACAACAAGTTAACCTGCACCTTATCAATACAGAAATTATTAAATTCAAGTAGGATGCTGCTATGTAAAAAATTAACATGTGATGCTGGCTTAGCAACAAGGTAGTGAGGAGCGAAAGAACAGACACTGCAGGCTGGAGGGTGGTGACCTCCTTGTTAGGTATAACAAAACATTGGTTAAACTGTGTCCTACAGTAACTGGAACACACCAACTAAGCCCTAAGAAAAATGATTAGAAAAAGTCAGAATGTGAAAAACCCACTGCTTTTGTGCTTGAAACCAGAAGATTCGATTCTCACCCTGAAGCAACCCAGTGTCAAAGATCAAATAAAAAAGTTACTCTATCTAGAAATCTTGTGATGTGTTACTCCCACCTGAAGCTGGAAGCAAACAGTCCAGAAACATACTAAGTTTTCAAGGAACTGTAAACAAACCACACACCTGACCTTCAGGAGCCTGTGATTGATCATTGGAGTCATCTTTGTGGCCCCAATCCTGCACCAGCAAGAAGTGAGCTGTGAAAGCTCTGCCAAAGAAGCACAGTCTCCAAAGCCTAGTCACAGAGACAATGACATGGGGAAGAACTTCCCAGGGAACAAAGCCAGGTGACTTAAGGGGCAATGGGCAAGGGATTCGCTTCCATAGAGCCCGGGGGCAGCCAGAGGGCTGACTGAGGTTACCCTACTACATGGCAGGAAATCATCACAATTCCTGCCTAGAAGGATTTTATAATTGCTATGGACCAATGATTAGTGTATATTTTTCATTCTTTTTTCCACATGGGACTTATCCTGTTTCTTATTCCACCACTCTGTACTGGGTACATGGGGGAAAGGAGGAATGACAAAAGGTAGATAACTTGTATTTTAGGTCATTGGCCAATGAAAAGCCACATCCACATTTAATGGTGAGGATGGTACATACTTAAGAGATCTTGGACTTCGAGCTGTCTTCTTTGGGGAAAGGCTAAGGATGTTCTAAGAGTAAGAATAAGGGTGTGAAAGGATAATGGGTAGCCAGAGGCACAGACTACTAACTGCCCTCCAGTAATTTTTCTTTGTGCCATCCATTTAGTAATAGAATCTCCTGAATTTCAGCTAAGTATATGGCCACCCAGCTAGTGACTACAATTCCCAGCATCCCTTATAGCTAGATGTGATTATGAAACTGAATTGTGTCCAATGGAATGTGAGCAGAAATAACGTGTGTGATTTCTAGAACATATTTTTAGATGCTTGCCCTCCATATCCTCTACCCCTCTCATATTCTTGTGAGCTAGCTTTGATCATGAAGATGATGACATGCTAGGGAAAGCGTTGCCAAACTTTTTCAGTAAAGGAACAGACAGTAATTATTTTCAGTGTTGTGGGTCATATAGTCTCTGTTACAAGTACTCAACTCTGTCACTGCAGTGATAAAGCAGCCATAAATACTACATAAATAAATTAGCATGGCTGTATTTCAATAAAATTTTATTACAAAAGCAGGTAGCTGGTTGGATTTGGCCTGTGAGCTGTAGTCTGCTGACCTCTCTTCTAGTGAAGGGCAGGGTAATAACCCTGGGTCCCCGGCACCAGCTCATCTCTAAACTATGATGGGAGCAAAACAGAATTTATACCTTATTTAAGTCAAGGTATTTTGGAAGTTCTCTTTATTACAGCAGTTAATGACTGTGTCTTTACACACTTACACACTTACTTACACACACACACACACACACACACACACACACACAGATTAAACTTCCATATGTTTAGCTTGTTTGGAACTCAGGAGAAAAAAAGACAAAATATATGTCCAATAAGGTGATGACTGAGTCACAATTCCAGAAAAGACCATGTTAGATCACTAAACTACAACTAGTATTTCCAAGGGATCTGCAAGACTGCCCAGAGATTCTTTTCTATACAAAAGTATAGTCCCTAATAAATTCAATAAAATTAAAAATAAATAAATAGAATATGTGAACTTTAAAGATGCTTAGAGGATCTTTTAAGAGATACTAGATTTGAATAAATTTATCTGAGGACTCAAGGTTAATCAATCTAAAAAAATGGAACTATCTACTTATCATGAGCTTGTTTTAAAAACAACAACAACAACAAAAAACCTATAAGGTTAAAAATCCCAAAAGATTTCTCTTCTTTATCCCTATCTCAAACCAGTACACTGAATTTTTTTTTTTAAAGTATTAACTAATTCAGAGCTTGACATGTTCATTGGCAACCCTCCTAGAGGGAGAACAACAGAATTATTTCCACTGGAAAAGAATATAATCTTAGCAATTATCCAGAATCACTGCTAGAAATCCCACTATGCTCAGATAGGTATATCAACTGAATGAGTGGCCAGTTCTGTGTCAGAAAACAAAAATTCGAGCTTTTCATGTACATACCTGTTCCATATGTTCAAATACTGCTGGAGTAGCAATAGTAGCAGGTGCCTCTTCAATAATCTTCTGATGCCTGCGCTGCACAGAGCAATCACGACCAAACAAAGAGATAGCGTTGCCATACTGATCTGCTAAGATCTGTACCTCTAGGTGACGAGATTGTTTGGCTAGTCTCATCACAAATATAGGAGAGCCGGGGACTTCAGACTGAACCTATATTTAGAGAAGGAAATAAAGCAAATTTTTAAGTGGTAAGCATTTTTTCTATCCTGCTTCAATTTCAACAGGCAGATGCTCAGAAGTGTCAGGGACCACGTTAATCAGTAGGAATACAGAAATGAGTAAAATATAGTTCATGTCCTTGTCTATTTTTTTCATTGTTTATTTTATTTACATTTCATGCCATTAACTCACATTTAATAATTTCCAGCTCTTACGTTTCATAGACAACCATGCTTGTATAAATCCTTTTTTTCTAAAATAAGTTTTGCTATTTAATTTTGCTCTATATTTTAATTTTATTTTTTTATATTAGTTTCAGGTGTACAAAACAACATAATGATTAGACATTTACACCCCTCATGAAGTGTTAACATCCCTAAGCTACTACTCCTCTGACATCGTATATAGCTGTTACAATACCATTGACTATATTCCCTATGCTGTGCTTTACATCCCATGAATACATACACACACACACACACACACACACACACACACACACACACACAGGGTGCCAAAAAAATGTATACACATTTTAAGATAACAACATATAAATATAAATATGTATGTGTGTGTGTGTATATATATATATATTTTTTTTTTTAATTATAGTTGACATTCAATATTATTCTACATCAGCTTCAGGTGGACAGTGGTCAGGCATCTAAAAAATCTTATGAAGTGATCCCTCTGATAAGTCCAGTGCCCATCTGGCACCCTACACGATCTTTACAACATTACTGATTATATTCCCCATACTGTATTTCACTTCCCCATGACTATTTTGAGACTACCAATTTGTACTTTCCAATCCCTTCACCCTCTCCCCCATCCCCCAACCCCCCTCCCATCTGGCAACCATCAGTTTTTTTCTCTGTATCTCTGAGTCTATTTCTGTTTCGTTTGCTCATTTATTCTGTTCTTAGATTCCACATGTGAGATCATTTGGTATTTAACTTTCTCATGTCCTTGTCTATTTTTAAGAGTCTGCATTCTTAGTTATATAACCAATATTAATTGATGAATATGAAAACATATGAACATCCATATGAACAAAATATTTTGAAAACATACACACACATATCCCACAAACAGCAAAGTACTGCCAAATGTAAAACTTGCTCCAGACCAGATGTTTTCCTGGTTCACATGACAGCATATATGGCATTGCTGTAGTCCAAGGACTTTTAATTCTTAAAATTGAAGAATTTTGAAGAATTTTGAAGCATATTGTTGCTGGATACAGAATTCTACACTGACAATTATTTTCTTTCAGCCCTTAAAAAATACCCCAATATTTTCTGGCTTTCACTGTTTCTACCGAGATGAAGCTATCAATCTTATCATTATTCTTTTGAAAGTAATATTTTTTTCCAGCTGCTTTAAGATTTCCTCTTTCTTTCTCTCTTTTTAGTGGAGTGAGGTGGCAGATTTACTCACATAAGCTTAAATGTAGTTTTCTCTATACTTGTCCTGCGGGGCTCATAGTGTTTTTTGAATCTGTGCTTGATATCTTTTATCAGTTCAGGAAAATTCTTAGCCATTATCGCTTCAAGAATTGCTTCTGTTCCATTTCTTCAAATATTGCTTCTGTTCCATTCTCTCTCTCTTCTCCTCTGAGACTCAAAGTACATGATGCTAAATTATTTCACTGTATCCCATGTATCTTTTACGCAATGCTCTGTATCTTTTATGCTCTCTTTTGCTGTAACAAGTCACCTTCAGACTCATTGGCTTCCTTAGGACATCAACCATTTTATTTGCTCATGATGCTGTGCTCATCTGGGCAGTTCTTCTGGTTTTGCCTGGGGTCAGTCACATGCATATCATCATCTGGTGACTCAAGTGAGGCTGAATGGTCTCATTCAAATGTCTGATAACATTGGCTGGTAGGTCTAGGGAGCCTCGACTGGAACAGCTCATCTCTATTACATGTGGTCTGTCATCTTCCAGTAAGCTATACCAGGCTTCTTCAGCACAGTATTCTAAGAGAGTGAGGGCGGAAGCTGAAGGCTTTATAAGCTCTAGGCTCTAGAATTTACACGCCACCACTCTGGTCACATTCTAATGGTCTAAGCAAGGCACAGGCCAGCTGAGATTCAAGGGGTGGGAAAGAGATGCCACCTCTTCAGGGGAGGAAAGGCAAAGTCACATTGCAAAGGGGATATATTATACATATAAGGATGGGAGGAGTATTTGCGGCCATTACTGCAAGCAATTGACTATGGTCCTCCCTCTGGCCACAATAATTCACATACCTCCCACATGCAAAATAAACTCATCCCCTCCCAAGACCCCCAAAGTGATCCGATCATGGCATCAGGCTTGATGTCCATTTTCTCCTGAGTCATGTCCAAAAGCCAATGAGACTCCTTGGGTGCAACAACTTAGGAGCAATTTCTCTTGATAAACAGGTCTGGGAACTAAAAAGACAAGTTGTCTGCCCCAAACACCCCCAACATTCAATGATGAGATGGGGAGAGGATACACCTGTTCAAAGAAGAGAAGATGGGAGTACACAGCAGGCATTGGTCCATAGCAATTCTGAAATTCAGATAAGTATATGTTGTCAGGTTAGGGTCCCTTACTCCAGGGATATGGAATGGTTTTTGTTTTGTTTTGGTTTGGTTTTTAGGGTCTTGTCCTGCTCCCTGGGAGTGGTTTCCTAATCTGTGACTCCTTTGCTCCTAGGCCCCTGGCTCT